ATGTTGTAATTGTCACCTTCAATTCTAATACCTTTGCTCTCTAACATCCACCTTTGTATGTATTTTCGGATCATCAAAATCGCCTCCATTTCAAGATGTGCCACATCCCAATGGACTCTTCTCTCCCCGAACACAGGCAATAGCCTGCCCTTGAAGTCTCGACAGACTCCTCCAATTCCTGCAGTGTTATTTTTCAATAAAGATGCATCAATTTTTACCTTGATCCAATCTAGAGGTGGAGGACGCCAATGCAATTGAGACTCCCTATGGAGATTAGCACCCCAGCTATCTAGCATTGGATTAGCTTTTGTTATAGCTATAGATAAAACATTAGCTACAATCATAGAGCTACCAAGAGTTTGCTTGCCATGTGCTTTCCTGTTCCTTTCCTTCCAACATTCATGAACCGCCGAGCAATACACACTAACAATACTAGAGAAGGTAGTCGACTGCCTTTTCAGATCCAACAGACATTCTTCTAAATAACTAAAAATTGGGATCATAAATCCCCAATTTTGCAATTTTAGTAGGATCTCCTTTAAGTACTTACACTAAAACGTGATACGCTATATGTTCTCCAGTTGTTGACAGCCCCGTGCACAGAGAGCATGATTAGAAAACTTCCTATAATTGAGAAACTCATTGGTTGGTATTGCAAACTTACTCAATCTCCACCAAAACAACTCAACACGAGGTTGAAGTTTAGCTTTTTTCAGCCACATTGAAAAACCAAAGTCTCCCTCTCCCCTATGATCATCAATAACATTTTCATAAGACAATGCTGTAATACTTTTCCCTGAAAACTGTTTGATTGTTCCCATGTAATCTGCATCTGCATTTTTTTTTTTTGAAGAATGCTTAAACTGCATAAAAAGAAAAGTAAATCCTAGATACAAACTATTGAGAGTGAAAAACACTATCACCCTCTTCCTTCACCAAATTACAAAAGGAAGATGGTAGTTCACTCTCACAACAAAAGTCCCAAAGAAAATCACTAGAAAGGGCATGATTAGCACAAAAATCTGCTAATCTAATACAATTACGATTAAACTAATGAAAAATCATATTATTAATCTTATAAAGAAAAGAAGAATCTTCAATCTCCACTTTCCTTTCCATATTCTTCGGTATAATGTGCACTTTATGAAGAATATCAATAACATTTTTATTGTCACCTTCAACTATAATACCATCAACATCATCAAATCTACCATCTAAAATTCCAGTAAGAGCATCACCAGCAGACCATTCTAATTGGGCAATGTCCCAATGTGTTTTCTTAATCCCAAATGCTAATAGGAACCTTCCTCTCCAATCTCTAATAATGCCGCCAATTCCAGCCTCATAATTTCCCTTAAGAGAAGCATCAAGATTAATCTTAATCTAATCAGGGGGAGCAGGTTGCCATTTGTCAAAAGATAGCCCATTGGACTGATTGACAACCCAGTTATCCGATTGTATAAGATGAACACAGTCTTGACTGATAAAACTGAGAATAGAAGTAGCAATAAACACATTGCTTTCTTCCGAATTTCCATGCTTAATTCTGTTCCTATGGTTCCAAATAAGCCAAATAACATTAAATACAATTTAACCAACATCTTATTACCGTCAATGAGTATCTGTAGACCAATCAAGCATTCCTCCCACCCATTGAATACGAGTACCAAAAAACCACAGTTCCTCAACACAAACAGCACCTTCCGAAGTTTATAGCAATTGGATGAAATATGATTGATATCTTCTAAGACATCACAACCCAATGGACAAAAATAATCATTAGAAATCTTCCTCCAGAATAGAAAAGTACCTGTAGCAGAGCATCCGAGAACATCCTCCATACAAAAACCTCCAACCTTGCGTTCAAACCCAGTTTGTAAATCCAACTGAAAGGAACAACCGCTTCCTTGGCTTCATATCTATCTACCATAACTAAAGTAGAAATAGACTTTCCAGACATTTTGTGTTTCAATTCCATACAATCCTCAGGCATATCATGCAATCCTCAGCATTTTTATTAATTGGGGTTTTCAAAATAATTAAAATGAGGTCCTCATTAAACACCTCCTGCAACCTCTCCATGTTCCAGTCACTGTTCCGGGACATGAGTTGGTCAAGCATAGTATCCTCCAACCTTGTGCTATCAACAAACGTAGGCCACATTTCCAAACTTCTATCATGTATCTAGAAATCCTTGAGAACATTGATCTTCCTCCCATTAACCACTCTCCATTTCAGCAAAGGCTTCAAAAATTTCCCTCCTTTTAAAACTTTTAAAGCAATAGACGATCCTTGTTCGACACCCATATCATACATAGTATTCCTGTATCTTGTAAACATAATTTTGTGAAGAGTAAATTCCAGATTATTCAAGAATTGCCATGCCAATCTTTCCTTAAGTGGCCCTGCTCTTATATTTGCTGAATGGAAGCTTAACCCGCCAACATCCCTTGGTTTACAGAGCTCAGACCAAGAGACATAGTGTAACTCCTTATTACCATTACTTTATGCCACACAAAATCTCTATAATATTTGTCTACTTCATACAATACCTTCTTAGGGACCATCATATGAGCTGATAAGAAGCTTGGGACAGTTAATAAGGATATCTTGGCCAGAATTATCCGACCAGCCAATGATAAACTCTTGCTACCCCAAGAATTTAGCATGTGTAAAATTTTATCCAGGACCTCTTGAAAATCTGCCTTCTGTAATCTTCTCAACGTGATTTTAACTCCAAGGTATTGGAATTCCTTCGTCTCCATGTATCCCAAAACTTCTTTAACCCGATTTCTATTTGAACGATAAGTAGCAATGCTAAACAAGATCTGAGATTTCGACATATTGACATTTAGACTTATCCAAGAGCAGAATCCCGTGACAATAGAATGGAGAGTTTTTGTCGTCTTCATTAATGCTTTAGCAAAGATCAAAACGTTATCCGTATATCTTTTGTGTTCTTGGTGATATTTAAATCCCTAAGTCACCTCCCCTTTGCTCTATTTCATTTAAAAGAAGCTGAGAACACATGATAAACAGATACGGAAAGAGAAGAGAACCTTGACGGAATCCATTTTGAGCATTAATCCACTTCGAAGCCTTTCCATTAATAAGGAAAGAAAATATAACATCACTAACACATTCCATAATAAGTGACGAGATCTTACTAAGGAGCCAAACATATTTAAAATTTGTTTCAATGAATCCCAACTCAAGCTATCATAAGCTTTCTCCATATCGAGCTTCACCGCCAACATTCCCTTTTTGTTCTTGGAAATTCTAAACTTGTTAAAAAATCTCATGAGCAAGTAAACAATGATTCGACAATGATCTACCCAGAATGAAAACTACTTGTTCTTCTGAGATAATTCTATTGATACAACACTTTATCCTATTCAGGATCATTATTTCCACAAGTTTATACGTTGTTTGACATAGGCTTATAGGTCTATGATTAGCAGGAGTTAAAGGATTTCTAATCTTTGGAATAAGAACATTCAAAGTGTCTTTCCATTCAGCATGCATTTTTACTATTTTTTAAAAAATTGTCAACCGCCTTCCAAGTGTCATCCCCAAAAATATTCCAATAAAATTTAAAGAAAGATGCAGTAATGCCATCCATACCAAGGGATTTGTTATTACCTTGTTGAAAGTCAGCCTTCATGAGTTCCTCCTTGGTAAATTCAGCATTCATCATCTCAGCTTCTGCATTTGTAATCTTCTGTTCTTCTGGAATGTTTGGCCAGGCCGTTAGAATTACCTTTCTGGCTTTCCATTTTCTTACAAAGTAATCATGGAAAACATATCCAATTTGCTTCAGATTCTCCAGAACATTGTTATTCTCATCTTTGATCTGCCTAATAAGATTCCCATTCTTCTTAGCAGAAGCATAATTGTGAAAAAAATTGGAATTGGTATCTCCTTCCTCATGCCATTTAGTCTTTGCACTTTGGTTCCACCAAGTCGATAGTCTCCCCAATGTCACATTCAGTTCGTGTACTTTCCCTCTGAGCAAATTTAGCTTCTCCTGTGAGAGACCCGAGTTGGCTTCTTCCTCCATTTGAAGCTCCAAAACTTCTTTCTTCAGCTGTTCCTTTAGCACACTTAATTCCTTGCTTTTATTTTTATTCCAAAAGTATAAGGATTTAATAGTTCTTCTTAACTTTCTTTCAAGTATTTTAGCATTATTACCATAATCCTTCTTCTTCCAATTATTTAGAATAATCTTCCAAGCCGCAGTACACGTCTTCCACATGTCTTCAAAACGAATGATTCTGGATTGCTTGTTAGCTGACTCAAATGCCTTACAAGATATTGGACAGTGGTCAGAAGCAACCCGTGGAAGATGACGGACCAAAGCCATAGGAATTCTTTATAAAGCAATTGAATTCTTCAAACATCTATCAAGTCTCTCCCAAATTCTAGAAGCACCCTCCTTATTGTTACACCAAGTAAATCTTGGTCCAACAAAAGCAATCTCATGAAAATCATTATTCACCATATAAGACTTCATTTCATTGGGCCCTTTGGAAAATTGAAACTTTTTACCTCCCCTCTTATCATCCTTGGAAAGGATACAATTAAAATCACCTCCAATTATTGAAGGTACATCATCAGGCATGCATCTTTCAAGAGTCTCCCATAATGATCTTCTGGTATGAACATCTCTACCTCCATAAACTGTTGCAACATTCCATTTTCCCATATTATTGTTGGAAAGAACTCCCACTACAGTTTGGAGGTGTTCTCAATTACCTCAAACGATACTACATTCTTTTCCCATAGAATAAGGATACCACCCGAAATTCCTTCAGCAGGATGATGAAAGAAATCCCAATTTCTACCTATCAGAATATCCACATCATTCCTCTCAATGCAAGTCATCTTGGTTTCAGTAAGACCAACAAAAAAGGCATCATTATCTTTAACTATCTCCTTAAGATATAGGGAGGCTTCACGTTTCTTTGCCCCCCTACAATTCCAGAAAATGAATGAAGACATTAATGATGAAGAGGGGAAGAGTCCCCACCTTTTTTACCAACTCTGCTATCTCCTTTCCTCATTCTATGAGTTGCCTCAACTGGACCCAGAGATCTAACCTCCTTTGAGAGTTTAGATTTCCCAGAATTTGCAGTATGATCTCCAGAGCTTCGACACCTATCAGAACTGGATTGCTTGCCAGCATTTGTTGTAGTTTGAACAGCATTTCCTATGTAATTTATTTCACCTGTTTCAACCACTTCAGTTATTTCTCCCTCCTCTTGTTCTTCGAGCAGCACTTGGAATTTGTTATTAACACATACCTCAGCAATTGTTATATCCAAGTTAGATTCTAACTTTCCTGGCACTTTATTAATAAAGTCCTTCCCAGCAACAACTTGATTTGCCTGACTTTCTTCAGTCTGATTTTGGTAATTTTTATCAACTAATAGTTCTTCGAGATTGTCATTATCAATTTGATTCTTCTCTATATCTTCATTCTGCTTCTAGTCATTCTTCATAACAGGTCTATAAACCTGTTGCTTCCAACTATTAGCATCCCGATTATTATTATATCTTCTAAACCGCCTGTTTTTTAATTTAGCATGGATCTATGGTCCATATTCATCATTATCATCAAGTGGCTTCAAAGTTCCTACTACATCATTAAGAACTCCCTTATCAATCTTGGAATTCACTATTGATTGTTCATAAGTTTTAACTGATTTGATCTCCAGACAGCTGGCTTTGCTATGCCCAATAACTCGACAGTGGTAGCATAGAGAAGTCATCTTCTCATATTCTACTTTTTGATAAGTTCTTCCTTGAATTCCTTCTATCCATACACCTTTAGGAAATTTCTTATGAAGATTAATACGCACACAGACACGTGCATATTCTCTCTTCCCCCATCTAAGAGAATTCCCATCAATGAAGAACGGTGTTCCAATTGTTGAAGCAATTCGGGCTATGTTTTCCTCATCCCAACAGCTTTGATGTAAGAATGGAAATCTAATCCATACAGGTGACATCAAACCTCTCAGCAACTCCGGAGAGAGGGAAGTGGACCTTTTATCAATCCCGATAATATGGTTCCCAATGAACCAAGGTTCTCCGCTCAAAACTTCTTCCATAGATTCAATGGTATTAAAGGAGCACAAAATCCAGTCATGCCCAAGAGTTGTTAAATGGAATTTCTGATATCTACCCCATTTTCCTCATAACTCCACGCTGCAAACAGAGAAAGGAATATCTTTCCCTAAGACTTTTACCATCAGAGATGTTTTAAGAGTATGTGTATTAGCAATTTCTCAATCTAGGTTCAACTTCACTGCCATAACATCTTTTGTCATCTGCGTATTCTCCATCTTATAATCCAATTTTATGTGTTGTGTTTTCCCCCAGGCAGAGACGAAAATATTTTTATAAACAGGCTTTTCTATAGCTTATGAATCACCATCAACATTCAAAGCACCTCCTTCAGCCTTATCATTCAGATTCTTGTTTATTAAATTCTGATCGCATTCATAATGAATTCCTGAGAATTTGCTACTCCTTCTCAAAATAAGATCAGAACCAGAAGCTTCACCATCACCAGATATCTCAAATTCAACTTCTGGTAATGAAGGCAATAAAGGGTTTTTACCCTTCCCCTCCACACAAATTTCTTTCCGGACCAGAGAATCATCCCTCTCTCGGATTAACAGATTCAAACTCTTCTTGACCGGCGATAATGATCGTAAACCAACATTCTTGAATGCAATCCCACCGGCAAGAGGCTGCTGGCAGTTCGGATTGCCCATCACCAGGCAAACACAACTTTCCCACCTAATGGAAAATTTGAAAACCTTCCTTGCCTATTTATATTATTCAAACTTTTCAACATACGAGTGCTATTTCTAGTAGGATTGAGAAATTATTTAATAAGTTTTTTTGGCATGGTTTTAATGTGAATTATAATGTTGTATGGTCCTCTTGGAATAAATGCTATGGTACCCTTGATGAAGGGCTTTGGGATACAAATATATGTATGATCTTTTGGAGGCTTTCTCTATGAAATTGAGGTTTAATTATTTTTCTAAAATTTCTCTTTTGGCTAGGTTTATGACTAAGAAGTATTGAGTTGGTAAGAATCCTTCTATATGTTTCTATAATAAAAGTGATTCCACGGTGTTGAAAAGGCTTTGTAGAATCAAGTGGAAAGATGAACCTCATGTTAAATGGGGCCTTGGAAGAGCAAACCTCTTCTTTGGGCAAGATCACTGGCTTGAAGGTCATTATATTGACTCAATTCTTAATTCTTTCACCACTGCTGGTAATAAGGTGGACTACTTTATCACAGATAATATTTGGGACTATTATCAACTTGTTGATATGGTGTTGGATAGTATTATTTCTAGGATTCTTAATCTGCCTATTAAAACTAACTCTAATGATTTCCTTTTATATGATTTGTCTCATAATGGTAATTTTAGTTTAAAGGATGCTTTGCATGTGGTTAGAGAAAAGCATAATGTTAGGAATGTTTTTTTTTTTAATTTAGAACAAAAGTATTCCTATGACAATTTCCAATTTTATTTGGTGAATCATGCAAAAATACATTCCTACTGATGAGATTTTCAGAAAGAGAGGATTTATTATTACTTCAAAGGGTTATTGTTGATTTTATTTGGAAAGTATTCATCATGTGTTTATTTTTGGCCCTATTGCTGTTAAAACTTGAGTTTATTTTGAAGATATTTTGAAGCTTAATTTTTTTAATAATGTCATGTCTATTAATAATTTATTGGAATTATGGTTTATTAATTCAAATGGTCATTTTAGAAATTTGATTCCTTCCCTCATTTTTTGGTATTTGTCGAATGCTATAAATAATTACATTTTTAATAATATTCGTATGGATTGTCACATTATTATCCATAATATTTTAGATAAAGTGCTCAAGATTTTCAATGCTAATCTTTTGACCTCCAAAAGGTTTAGAAAGTGCTTATTTATTGCTCATAACTTTGGTATATCTCTTCAGAATGACAAATATGTGGGCTATCCTAAACTAATTAATCGATTAAAACCCCCTAGAACACTTTTAAAATAAATATTGATTGTTCAGTTCAGAACTGTAAGTTTGGTTGTGGTGGTATTAATAGATATGATTATGGTTACATAATTATGTATTTTGCTAGCCATTTAGAGAAGTGTATTGTGCTAATGGTTAAACTTTATGCTATTTTTCATGGACTTAAATTATGTATTTCTCTGGGTATTACTAATATCTGGATTGAGGTGGATGCCACATCTACTATTAATTGTCCTATGAACCTATTGGATGGTATATGAATCCCTAATTCTTTCTATCTTATTAGAGATATCTAGAAGCCTCTTATTTTTATTAACTTTAAAATTTCACATGTTCATAGGGAAGAAAATGCTTGTGCTGATTGGGTAGCTAATTTGGGTTATGGGTTGGACTTCCTTATGGATTTTAGTATTTCCAATTTACCTAATCCTTTGAAAGGCATAATTAAGTTGGATGAAATGAGTTTATTTTATGTTAGAACTTAGTTGGTTTGTAATCTGTTTCATGTTGGGCTCAGTTATTCTTTGGCTCTAGTTGAATGAAGAGCATTTTAGTCATTCCTCATTTTCTAGGAGGGTGCATGTTTCTATTTTTTTTATCAATCCTTTTCATCTAAATACTGATTATTGTGTTGATGTGAGGGGATTAAGGAGTGATTGAAAATTTTCATACTCTGAGTTAACCCCCTTTATTTCTCTTCTTTACCCTGATGTGATTTTGTTGATTGGTTGTATTATTCTCGATATGCTGACTGGCTGGGTCTTGATCTGTCACATTTTTGAAACTAATTGGTGGAATACTTGGGGTATTTTATATGTTTTTCTAGGAAACCCTCAGTTTTGTTTAGATTTCCTTTATTATCTGCAATATCTTTACTTGGGTTAGTTGTTGTACTATCGCTGCTTTTGTGGTTGTCTTGCCCTAAATGGTGTTTCTTTTCTTTTACTCACCTCTTTGGATTCCTTCATGAGCCAGAGAGTTTTTGTCTTTAGAATGGAGTGGCATTGGGGGTTATTCCACGATGGTTGTGAAGGGTACTTAATCCTGAGCTCTAATAGCTGCCCTGATCCTTTGTTATTTTTGTTGTTCTTCTTTTGGGCCTTTTTTGTCTCTCATTATGTGATCACTTTTAATTTACTTTCTCTTTATGTTGTTGTTTCAATGTTTTTTTTTTGGATATTGATATATTTATGGAGGCTATATATTTTGACAATTTGGGGCATCTCTTGGTCTTATCCTTTACTTTTTAGGTAAACATGACATTTTAAATTTCTATTGTTTGTATCAGAATGTGGTGGCTAGTTTTCCTAACAATTTTTTGGTCTCAATTAGCTATTTTATGGGAAACCTTTTTTGTTGCATTGATTCTATATATGGTTACTCGGACGAGACAGGTTTTTAATGGTTGTATGACTCTTATGGGGCTTAATTCCAATTGGGGAAAATGTTATTTCTTCTTATTTGTTTTACTATTACTTCTAGCTTATTTTAGATTATGACTTGGTTTGGTTGGGATGACTCTTTCTTGAATTATGACCATGAGTAAGTCCTTTTTATTTCCATATTTACTGCTAGCTTTGGTATAATTTATTAAATGTTTACAACATTATTTGTGTATATTATTGTTTGCTATGTGCGGCACTCCTTTGCATTGTCTTTATCATGCAAGATCAAGGAATTTGGGATCCTTTGGGAAAGCATGTATTTTTTTTGGAGGAGGATTGTGCTTAAAGTTTCATTTATGATCTTCATTTTTTGGTTGTTGGCTTCTAACAACCCTAGAATGTTTTGCACCTGATAACATAGGGAACCATCAGCTCATAGGTTTAATTTTATTTTCTTTTATAGCTTTGTCGAGCATTAGAGAGCAAAAGGTTCCCTTTAAGGACGTTGTAATTGCTTCTTTCTTAATTAACGCGTAGGCTCCTCCGAGGGTTTTAGAAAAAAAAAAAAAAGAATCACCTCAATAGCCAAAAGATATCTTAAGAGACTAATAAAAAATCTTTTATATATGGCTTAAAAAACCTTAAAATTTTATTTTAGTTTAAACTATTCATAGAGTATGATTGAGGATAATATAATATGATTAATTTAAAAACTAGATTTCATTAAGCATGATGAAATAATTGTAGGATGAATTATTTAAGTTTTGTATACTAATTTTTTAGTAGTATTAATGAATCAGACGATATGATTGGTTTTATTTATCTAATGATCATATAGGATGATCAGTTCATCCAATATGATCCAATAACGTCTCTTTCCTATCATGCTCTGGCTATTTGGTGGAGATTTAGGGCTCTTTCTTCTTGCTACTAGTTTTATCCTCCTGGAATGGTTTCTATGGAATTTTTTTCTCATTTTCATTTTTATTTCTTTTCCTCATTCCTTTTGTGTGTTGGTTTGAGGTTTTTTTTAAGTTTTCTAACATTGGGAATTATTGAGTCTGTCGTCATCCATCCCCTCGACATCCTCTCTTCTTGATGGTAAATCTCAGTCTTTTAAGGATGTTTGGGCTGGATCATCTTCCTCTACCTCTAAGCTTCATTTTTGTTCATACTGCATTTAAGGAATATCCGGCTTTGATGTTTAATGACTCTATGGTTTCACAGTTGGCTGCTACATTTATGTTAACACTGGTTGGCAAGTTCATCCTTAGGTGACCTATCCTTGACGTTATTTAAAATTGTTTTGTTAACCTAAAGTGTCGGGTTCCTTCCATGTTGGCTTACTTGATCGAAGGCATATTATGATTTAAATTTCTAGTGATCATACTATATTCAAGCGTGTTAAATGCGTTTACTCAAATGGACACCGAATTTTGATGTTCGGGAGAAATCTCCAATTGCTCCTATGTGAATTTAATTTTCAAACTTGAGACTTCATTTCGTTAATTCCCAAATTTTATTTGGTTTGGCTTCAATTTTTCGTAGGCCTTTACAACTGACCAAGCTTTTGTTTCTATTTCTTGGCAGTTTGTGGATATTGTTTTGGTTGAGTTGGACATCTCTAAGAAACATTCGAATGAGATCTAGATTGGGTTGTAGTTGAATGGTT